TTGATCTTTCCAACAATTATAACTTGGATGTTGATACTGAGTCACCATCTTGGATTCCATCTTTTCAACTAAATTATTTAAATCTAGACAATTGCAACCTCAATAGKAAGAGTCRTAATGTCWTTCCAAATTTCCTCTCCACTCAATACAAGTTAACAGCAGTGTCTTTAACTCATACCTCTCTTCAAGGAACCATTGCTCCCTGGTTGTTGTACAATAACACTTCACAAAAACACTTGTCCTTAAGGGGTAACCATTTAGTTGGTCAACTTCCAAAAATGCATTTCCAAAATGAAACAACAAGACTGACCATTCTTGACATTTCTGACAACCAAATCAAAGGGCAGCTTCCTACAAATATCGGTGACTTCTTTCCCAGCCTACATTTTCTTAACATGTCAATGAATAAACTTGAAGGCAAGATTCCGTCTTCGTTCAGTAGGATGTGGCAATTAGGAGTGCTAGACTTGTCTAACAATGCCCTAACAGGAGAAGTGCCCAATGGATTATCCCAAAACAAAACCATCTTATCACAATTAATCTTATCAAACAACAAATTGCGTGGTATGCCAATATTTTCCAAAATGGAACAATTAGTTGATTTACATCTTGGAGGAAATTGCTTCACAAAACCCATCATAATCAATGCATCAAGTGCCCCATCTCTTCACATGTTGGATCTAAGTGGGAACTATTTGCATGGCTATCTTCCAAATCATCTGCCTGTTCTTCCAAATTTGGGTGTTCTTCACTTAAGAGGAAACCATTTTTTTGGCCAAATACCAGAGTCATTATGCCAAATGACAAAGTTGCACACATTAGATCTTTCAAATAACCATTTGTCAGGGAGCATACCTTCTTGTCTCAACAGCATTACATCATGGAAGGAAAAATCTGAACTTGAAGAGTTTCTCCCTTATTTTGATCAAGGCGGCGAAATGGCCAATGAAATCGAAATCAATTTTGCCACCAAGGGTAACATGCACACTTACAAGGGTGTTCCTCTGCGTTACATGACTGGGATTGATTTGTCAATGAACCAACTAACAGGTCAAATTCCAACAGAAATAGGAGACCTGAGAGAACTCCACTCGTTGAACCTTTCCAATAATTTTTTGGCAGGCCATATCCCCGAGTCCTTTCAAAATTTAGAACAATTGGAAAGTTTGGATCTTTCTCACAACAAACTTGAAGGAAGGATCCCACATCAAATAACCAAACTCAATTTTCTTTCGACCTTCAGCGTGGCCTTCAATAATCTCTCAGGCAGGATCCCTTATGAAGATCACTTCATTACATTTGATAACAATAGTTATATTGGTAATGATGAACTCTGTGGACCACCGCTGCAAAAGAATTGTTCCTTGTTCGAGAACCAGGCACCAAGGCCTAAAGGCAATGACTTTGGAAGTGGGAAGAAAAAATTGTTAGCCAAGGTCATGGATGAAGACTTGTTTTTCTATTCATACGTGGCTATTTGTTATGCATTGGGTTTTTGGGGTGTTATTATCCCGCTGATTTTGAGCAAGAATTGGCGCCGGAAGTACTATGGAGTCATTAATGGGTGCATTGACAGGTGTAGGGAGTGGTTGTTAGGATTTTCATTTTATGTACATAATTATTTTTAATTTCCAATGTAGATGGATATTTATATTTCTTGAAGTAAAATTATAGTAGTTTTTACATAATCATATGTAAAAGAATCCTTGTTAAGGAGTCTTTAAGCCTAAGTTTGACAAGTGATGAGGCGGTCTTTGTTAACTAGCAAGGAAAGGTCATCTTAAAGCTTAATTTCCCAACAAAGTTTATGTATACCTACAAGTGTCTTTTCTTCCCAGGGAAAATCTGATAATGAGAAATTTGAAATATTAGATTACCATAAAGCCTAATATGAGCAGTAGGTTCATTACCGTAAAGCCTAATATGAGCAGTAGTTTCGACTATAATACCTAAAAGACACAATACCAGAAAATCTTGTAGCATGCTGTAATCCGATAACTTCCTTTTGTCTTTGTAATGGCTTACAAATAGAAGGCACGGTAATTGGGTTCGGGGTTGGAATGATAATATATATATATATATATATATATATATATACCCAGCCCTGCCCTGGCCTGTTGCCATTCCTACAAATAGGTAGTTGCTCTCTTATGTGTCTTCGGTGTTATTGCTACAACAACAATTTGAATTCTTTGGAATGATATATAAAAAAACGTTTAGATGTAGTGATCATCATCTCATCATTACCTGATGGTGTTTTCAACCTGTCATTGGTCTGAACAATTGAGTTGTTTGAGCCATCACCTGGCCATGATTCTTTTGTCCGGTTCTCCTAAAACCTAGGGATTGGTAAACATTTGTCCAACTCGGCTAGTTGAACCGTTGACCTATTCAACATGGCCATTAGGTCGTGGGTTGTATACTAAATTAATATAAAAACTTTCGGAAGCCATAATTTTGTGTTCAGTTGCTAATTGATGGTGTTGATAGGATCTTTGACTTATTAGAGACTTGGGATCAAATACCACTATCAATAAGGTTGGGGGTTAAGGGGATGGGGAATGGACTGACACCATTAAAAAAACATAATCTTTCTAGTGGATCCTTAGTAGTTCTATTTGCATGCCACTTAATATTTGATTGGTTTGTGCTTTGCTACCTCCATGAAAACTAGATCTGGACCATTGGAACATTCCCCTGACCCCTGACCCAAATTGGCGATGTATGGAACAAGAACAACTGCATCGAATAAGTTTGCGTATGAAGGTAGAAGAAAGGTTTTAAAAAGCTAAAGGTGTAATTTTGAGGCATAGTGGCCCAAAATGGTGAGACATAAGTCTTAATGTGATGTAAGACATTAGTCTCAAAATTTAAGAAAAAATTAATTAAATTTTATAAATGATAAAAATAACATGTAATATGCAATGTTTGAATGACAGAAGGTACAAATATCCATAAAATAGAAGTTTATAAACAATAAGTTTTAAATTTTAAGCATTAAATAAAATAATAATTAATGGTCTAACAATTATAAGCATTTTACATTTTATGTTTCAAACCAAAATTGTAAAGCTTAAGCCTTAGAACAAAATCTAAATGCCTCACCTCAAGGCATACGCCTCGCGCCTCGAAGCTTAAGCATTTTTAGAAAATGGGTTTCGTAGATTGAGAAATAACTGAGCACACTTTCACTTTTCAAACACTGGATTGGATTAATGATTCTCAGAGGGTTTCGTTGAAAAAAGGGGGGATTTAGCGATTCAGATTTTTACCTTTGAAACCCAAAACACGTTCAAAATATCAATAGTCTTGACACTTGTGTATCAAGAGCGTATAGAAACTCTGTTCTGTATTTACTACTTTTAGGCTTTGACAATTTGAGAATGTATAGCCCTTATTAAGGATTAAAACAATTACAACCTGAAATATCATGATATTTTAAACCTTGTAAAATATCATATATTTTGTCAAAAAATAACAAGAATTGAAAAAATAAATTATAGAAAAAATGCATGTAGAGGCCGGAATCCCTAGAGACTACAATCCAAATCGCCCTTCTACTGCAAGGATCATTGACTGTGCGAACTTAGATTCAGTCCTCACAAAACCGTATTCACACTGTCCTCACAGTCAAATGCAATTGTGCATAACCATTTACTCAAGCATAGTTCTAAAAATCAACAAATAGAATTAAAGCTTCAACAAATATGAGTGTATAAAACAAGACAAAATTACAACGCCCACCTTGACTTCTTTTTGTAGCCAACCATAGAGATCCCCTGTTACAACCTTTGTAGTGCATCCGATAAAAAGACCAATAGGTAGACATTTCTACTTATACCCAAATTTTACAATCAGCTTCCGCAAAATGTGATGTAGGACTAATTTAATATCTAGCATAGAAAATCTATTCTAGGTATATTTTTACGATAGAATCGTGTGCTGTTTGCTGGAGGGGTTTACGGTGGATTCCACAACCGAAACCGAATACATTGCTGCAAGTGAAGCTGCCAAAGAAGCCATATGGATGAAGAAGTTCATTCATGAATTGGGAGTAGTTCCATCCAGTACATCACCCATTCCATTGTTGTGTGACAACAATGGAGATATCGCTCAGGCTAAGGAGCCATGAGCCCACTCAAAGTCAAAGCACATCGAGAGAAAATACCATGTACTGCGGGAGATAGTTGGAAGAGGGGACGTCATGATTCAGAAAGTAGCATCAGCGGAGAATGTAGTAGACCCATTGACTAAGCCATTGACACAAAAAGTGTTTGAGAAACACGTGGAAAGTATGGGACTCCGGCTTATACCAAATTGGACCTAAGTGCAAATGGGAGTTGTTAGATAGTGTATGCCCTTAGTTCCAACCAGAATGATGTACATTATGACATTTATTGTAAATGAATAAAGTACATATTTGGTTCATGTTATTGTGGTATGTTTCTGTGTAATACCCTTAAACTGGACACATATGAGACTCGTGTTAGTTTAGAATCTTCACAGCCATTGGATTGACCTGGGGAGATCTATCCTGTTAAGGCTGACACTGATGTGCCGCCAAGTAGGTTGGGGTAGCTTATCTCAACTACCAGGGTGAGACCCGAGGTACATGTAGTGTGGGTTTACTTGAAACCCTAAACCGGACTAGAATTTTAGTATTGCCCTAGACCTTGGAGATTAGTGGGCAAAATTGGAATGTTACACCTGACACCTACACTCGATTATGATACTACACTAGGTGTCGGATTGGGTTGTCTTTGATATGTCAATCAGTGAGATCCTTAGAGGGGGTCAAAACTTGGGTATGTTGAGATAGTCCAAGAATTCATCTGAGTGGGTGATTATAGTGACAGGATCAGCCCCTTTGTCGGACAAAGTGAATGATCGGAAATGCACTCTCTCTGATTGAAACCAAAGCTGCCGACAGTCGATTTCAATCGTTGAAATTTGATTTGCAAAATATATTTATATAGCGATATACATATATACATATATATATATATATATATATATATATATATATATATTACGGTTTCAAAATGTTTGCAAAATGTTTTAATTCCCTGGATCCATGTGATTAGAGAGTGCAGCACTGTACCTTACAATCGAGGGAGAGGTTCTCTCTTGTTGGGCAGTGTTTGATCATTATGGGCTGAGAGGTTAAGTCTAAGACCATTGAGGGTAATACCTGATGGGGTAATCTTGCATCTGCCCACAGTCCTTCGGTTATTATAAGGTGGCTTGGCCCAGGGGATACTTAGTGTAAGTGTTGGGCCCATTAAGAGCCCATGGTGATGGGCTCAGGGTTTCACTGTCTTTTTTAGTGGATTCGGCCAAGCCTTGTAACAGAGGCTAAGTTGAACCCATGTGGCTGATGTGTAGATCAATGTTTGAGTCCAATGCCATACAATGATACCCAACTAGGCAGTAGTTTGGAAGTTAAGTGAGCACACAGACTTAATGGGCCTAAAGCCCAACTCGAACTGGTTTAATTTGATTAATTAATAGAGGGACAGATCTGGGATTTAGATCAGCAGATAGGATAAGGAGTTATCCCTATCCACTCAGAGAGTCCAAATCCAAATAAGGATTTGGATTAGGAAACTTTTAATAAGATTAGGAGGGCTGGTCTTTATCTGCAAATAAGATAAGGGATTATCCTTATCTCTTAAAGAGAGTCCAGATCCAAATAAAGATTTGGATTAGGAAACGTCTAATGGGATTAGGAGAATCTCTCTTTAAGGCTGTAAATAGAGGATGAGGGTGAACCCCAATTCATCCAATTCATATTACAGATACAAGAGAGAAGACAACTCCAATAAGACTGATGCCATCTTCTGCTCTTGCCTTCTCCTCCTCCTGCCGCCATTGCCAGTTCATTCTCCACCTGTAGGAGTGATCAAGAAGTGTTCTTGAAATCAGTTTTTGGTGAAAAACTAATATGAAATCGTGCTCACTCACCCTATTGATTCTGCTCCACCCTACGCTGTGTCATCTTTAGTTGGAGCAGTCTTTGGCATTTTCCTTGGGCATGAACACCTTCATTGGGAGCTACTGTTTCTCCGTATCAGGTATATCCCTCTCCTACCTTTTGGTTTCAGATCAAGTCTGGTTAAAATTCCAAGATTGATCTTTGAAAATGCAGTTTTCTAAAACAGGGAATGTGATTCCTAGATGAGAGAGAGATAAATTTTTGAAATTTCTTCCTACCTACCTACAGGGTTTGGCTATCCATATGATGGACCTCTCATCCCTTCAATATAGAAACTTTCTTTGTTAAAATGATTCTAAGGAGTATTCTCAAATATAGACATGTGAAAATTGTCAATTTTCGCAGTTTTCACTCTTAATTCCCTTTTCAATTTGGGTGGGGGTGGCCTCACCAATGGATTACTTTCCCTGCAAATGTCTCTTTTATTTAACAAGGTTATTTAAAATTTCTTTGTTGTTATAAAACTATTCCCACTTGACCAATTGTCTTAGGCCAGACATGAAAAGAAGCGAATCTGGAAATGTAATCCAAGGATATTCCTTCTTAGAACATATGGGGGTAGTAAAATTTAGAGTAAAAAAGGTCACAAGCGTACCCTTGAGAGAAGATAATCTAAGTGGAGAATGCCAAAGA